TCTCTATACAAGCGATATTTTGCATTGATCGTTTAAGACGACGACAACAACAACAGCAACAAAAATATTTAATTTATTCTTCAGTATAAAACGAAAAGGCAGAAGAAGCAGACAAATTTAAAATTTAAACAAAAATGCCAAATAGAATAAAAAGACGTAAAAAAAGAAACCAGATAAACAGCCGCGTTTTTAATTGATGCATATTTTGTTTTTAAACAAACATTATTTTACTTTTTTTCATTCTTTTTTCTTTCAAACAATTTAAATACACCTCACAAAAATTAATAAAGAAAAAAAAAACAAAAACAACACTACCAACCAACCGCTCTATTTCGGTCTCTTATCCGTTTAAATAAATATAATCAACAATAACAACAACAACATAATCATCAATACCGTAACGTTCATCATTTATTTTCAAATAAAATTAAAAAAACCGACAAAAAACGACCGTTTTATTTTAAACGCGCCAACCAAACACGACAAGCAAGTGTAACAGACTGATTGTTGTTGATTTGCTTATTATTGTTTACGGCGAAAATTTTGCCAACATTTAATTTTAATTTAATGGATTTTAGCCTGTTCTTTTTATTACAAGCTGCTGAATAAGAAAACAAATTGAGTATGAACTGCCAAAAGCTCTCTCTTAATTCTTGTTCTTGTTCAAAAGTAATTGGTTAATATAATTTTTTTCTTTTTTACCCGTACCTATACCATTTTTTGTTGGCTAATGTGGCAAAGAAGCCTTTTTGTTTTGAAAATAAGTGTTGTCAATGAATGTTTAGTTAATCGCAGGAAAAACAGTTTTTTCAACAAAAATCTATTTTTATATAAAAGTCGGTTGTAGATTCTTAAATATGCATCCAATTGAGAAGTTTAATTAAGTCTAATCTATATTCTAGACTATAGACCAGTCTATAATCTAGCCTGGTCTATAGCCTAGTATATAATCCAGTCTATAGCCTAGTATATAGTCTAGTCTATAGTCTAGTATATAATCCAGTCTATAGTTGAGTCTATAGTCTAGTAAATAGTCTAGTCTATAGTCTAGTCTATAGTCTAGTACATAATCCAGTCTATAGTCTAGTCTATAGTCTAGTCTATAGTCTAGTCTATAGTCTAGTCTATAGTCTAGTCTATAGTCTAGTCTATAGTCTAGTCTATAGTCTAGTCTATAGTCTAGTCTATAGTCTAGTCTATAGTCTAGTCTATAGTCTAGTCTATAGTCTATTCTATAGTCTAGTCTATAGTCTAGTCTATAGTCTAGTCTATAGTCTAGTCTATAGTCTAGTCTATAGTCTAGTCTATAGTCTAGTCTATAGTCTAGTCTATAGTCTAGTCTATAGTCTAGTCTATAGTCTAGTCTATAGTCTAGTCTATAGTCTAGTCTATAGTCTAGTCTAGTCTAGTCTCTAGTCTAGTCTATAGTCTAGTCTATAGTCTAGTCTATAGTCTAGTCTATAGTCTAGTCTATAGTCTAGTCTATAGTCTAGTCTATTTATCTAGTCTAGTCTATAGTCTAGTCTATAGTCTAGTCTATAGTCTAGTCTATAGTCTAGTCTATAGTCTAGTCTATAGTCTAGTCTATAGTCTAGTCTATAGTCTAGTCTATAGTCTAGTCTATAGTCTAGTCTATAGTCTAGTCTATAGTCTAGTCTATAGTCTAGGTCTATAGTCTAGTCTATAGTCTAGTCTATAGTCTAGTCTATAGTCTAGTCTATAGTCTAGTCTATAGTCTAGTCTATAGTCTAGTCTATAGTCTAGTCTATAGTCTCGTCTATGTCTAGTCTAGTCTATAGTCTAGTCTATAGTCTAGTCTATAGTCTAGTCTATAGTCTAGTCTATAGTCTAGTCTATAGTCTAGTCTATAGTCTAGTCTATAGTCTAGTCTAGTCTAGTCTATAGTCTAGTCTATAGTCTAGTCTATAGTCTAGTCCTATAGTCTAGTCTATAGTCTAGTCTATAGTCTAGTCTATAGTCTAGTCTATAGTCTAGTCTATAGTCTAGTCTATAGTCTAGTCTATAGTCTAGTCTATAGTCTAGTCTATAGTCTAGTCTATAGTCTAGTCTATAGTCTAGTCTATAGTCTAGTCTATAGTCTAGTCTATAGTCTAGTCTATAGTCTAGTCTATAGTCTAGTCTATAGTCTAGTCTATAGTCTAGTCTATAGTCTAGTCTATAGTCTAGTCTATAGTCTAGTCTATAGTCTAGTCTATAGTCTAGTCTATAGTCTAGTCTATAGTCTAGTCTATAGTCTAGTCTATAGTCTAGTCTATAGTCTAGTCTATAGTCTAGTCTATAGTCTAGTCTATAGTCTAGTCTATAGTCTAGTCTATAGTCTAGTCTATAGTCTAGTCTATAGTCTAGTCTATAGTCTAGTCTATAGTCTAGTCTATAGTCTAGTCTATAGTCTAGTCTATAGTCTAGTCTATAGTCTAGTCTATAGTCTAGTCTATAGTCTAGTCTATAGTCTAGTCTATAGTGTAGTCTATAGTCTAGTCTACAGTCTAGTCTACAGTCTAGTCTATAGTCTAGTCTATAGTCTAGTCTATAGTCTAGTCTATAGTCTAGTCTATAGTCTAGTCTATAGTCTAGTCTATAGTGTAGTCTATAGTCTAGTCTACAGTCTAGTCTACAGTCTAGTCTATAGTCTAGTCTATAGTCTAGTCTATAGTCTAGTCTATAGTCTAGTCTATAGTCTAGTCTATAGTCTAGTCTATAGTCTAGTCTATAGTCTAGTCTATAGTCTAGTCTATAGTCTAGTCTATAGTCTAGTCTATAGTCTAGTCTATAGTCTAGTCTATAGACTAGTCTATTTTCTAATATAAAGTCTGGTCTATAGTTTAGAATATAGACTAGACTAACTTCGGTATTTTGTATGGAAATTATGCTTAATAAACCCAAAATAACCGATTAATTCTTTTACTTCAAAAAACCCCAATAATACCGGGTGCAAGCAGCTATTATATTTATAAAGTTATTTTCATTCATACCTTCCTTTTTCGAGCAATAAAAAAACAAATCCTTTGTCAAAGCAAGGCCGTTTAAATATCTACTCATTTTCTTTTTTGTGCTCATTTTATTTTCCGTTATCTTTGAAAAATTTCTCCTGAATAACGTATGCGCACTATCCTTTCTCTTGATTTCCAACCAAAACTTTTTACAAGTCCTTGTGGTGAATTTGTTTATATAAATAGTGGGTAATGGAACAGCAAATGATTCCGTCAATGGTTTGACTGATTTATTAGAACACGAGTTAATACATAATTTAAGAAAAAAAAAGCTTTTTTTTATGTTTATTTTGAACTTGAACTCTCTTCTTTTAATGTTATTTATTGCTGTTGCTGTTGTTCTTAAAGTCTAGTAGCGGGTTGTTTTGTGTTTTTTATTTAGAATAAAACATAAGCTTTTGAAACTAGGTCAAAGTAATTAAAGTCTGCAAAGATTTTTCATTTACACATACGCAGCTAGCACGGGGATATATTGGATAATTCTGTTTGTTTTTTTTTGGGGGGGAGGGGGGTTATAAAAGAAGGATTTTAATTAGATAATACATTTATTATTTATTCATATTCTTATGACTGATAGTTTTCTATAGGTTTTTTAGTTTTAAATAAAAACGTGCACAAAATATTAGAACATTTTTAAACAACTCAATAAATAATCTTGATATGAAGCCTGTTAAAATATATTATAGATATAATTTCTTTATATACATAAATATCGGTTTTAAGGTTTTCATATAAAAATACATTTTTATAGAAAATTTAACTAATAACAGACTTAAGTTATTTTCTCAATTGTCATATAAAATTTTTTTATGGAAAATATAGCCGATTTTATGTTAATAATACAAAATTCGATTTTTATGGTACAAATGAGTGATCACAGATTTTAGCTATTTCCTGACTTGAAGCGTTATTTAAGGACCTGCTGCCGATTTTAGGTTTGTCATATAGAAATCTATTTTTGATGGAAATTTTAAGAGATCACGTATTGTCTTTATTTTCTCAATTCGAGTGTATTGATAAAACATTTTAAGTGATCCATCGTTAAGGATCTAAGGATCATAGAAAAATTGCATTTTCTATGCATGTCAACTCAGTAGTACTTTTTCTCCAGGAAAGAGCTTTAAACAATGGCTAAACTTTTGTATGTTTTATATGAACCTGAATCTTTTATTAACACATACAATATTCATTCTTAAATTTAAAAACCGGTAAAATCGACCCATAATTATCTAAGATGTGCACAAAAGTAACAACTATTTCAGTGTTAAGTATATTTTTTGATACATTTTACCTTAAAAAGGCTTTACTTTAGTTTAGTTTATTCATTCTTATACAGAATCCTAGCCAAAGGCCATAATCGGATCCAATAACACTACTTAATTAGACAACATTCAATTTTAATAAAATAACAATAATAATAAAAGTAAATAAATAAAGAATATAAATTAAAGTTAAAAAAATATAAAAAAAATAATTATAATACTTTACATCTATTTTAAAATGGATTATTTATTTTAAATTAATTTATTATTATTTAAATTTCAAAAATGTTTATTAAATTTCTTGAAATTTAAAATAAATAACCGTTAAATTAATAAGTTACCACCTAAATTCTAAATAATGTTAGTGCCATGTGTAAAAAATTTGCGTATGGCAACAAACAAACAAAACATGTGGCAATTTTCTTTATAACCTATAGCTATCTCGCTCTTTTGCACATAATTTTCAAGTTTAACATAATTATGCTGCCAACTCTTACTAACAGCTCTCTTAGAAAGTTGCCACATGTAGTATATAGTTTATTTAAAGAAAAACATATCAAATTTTAATAAATAATACAACATTTTTAAATATTTATTAAATTGTAGTGGAATTACTTAAATTCATTTTATAAATCTTAAAAGTTTTTATTGTAACTAACTATTTTTTTAAAAAGTTTTAATTTTGTTAAATATTAAAAAATTTAAGCTGGCAATACCTAACTACTGGATTTCCTCAATTCGTTTATTCTCTTTTCGGTGGTGTTGTGAAGTGGTTGTATTTTAACTAGATTTTTTTTCGGCTAAAGCAAGAGAAAAACTGGAATCAATAATTCGCAATTGAAGTATTATTTTTCATACATACATATATATTTGCAAAATAAATATTAGTTTTAGTTAAATAACAGAATTTTCCATAAAAAAACACAAGTATTAAGAAAGTGTTGTAGCAAGAAGTAAAAAAAAAACAATTTATTGAAAAAAGAAAAGTTTAACCAAAATGTCGGAACAAGAACACCAAGATACCAATGGAACTTCTAATGGCGACGTGCCAGAAATTGAATTGATTATTAAGGTTGGTATTTATTAAATATTTTCTATATACATATACAATATAAAAGAAAAAAATATGCAGCACCCAAAAATTGTATTGTGTCTGTTGTAAAATCCAATGGGAGACAAAAACAAAAGAGGGGTTACGAGAAAAAGGTTAAACCAATATGGATGTTGTATGAATGAATTGTTTGTTATAGAACTCCTCCTCTCAATTTCAATTACATATTTCGTTATTATTATTAATTTTTAAAGTTAATTATATTTTTTCTACAGTACATAGATACTTAAATATTTATTGAAAAAAAAAAGAAAACACAAAACGCACTCGTAAAAAGCTTTTTATGGTGATTCTTTTTCTAATAGCTAAGTAAATACAAAACAGGTTTCCTGTTACTCCTCACCACGCTTCGCTTCTTTCCACTGTCATCGTCTTCGTCGTCGTCTTCTCTTAAGATTTTTAGCTGTTTGCATTCATCGTTGTTTGTTGCTGCGTTTTACTACTAACATTTTCTTACTGACTTGCTCTGGCTGGCTGTATGACTGGCTCGCTTTGCTGGCTATATATCGCACCCTCCGGCCACCTGACAGTCACGTCTTCTTCGTTTGCTTTTCTGTTGATGAAAATAAGAAACAGTGGGTCTATTTTTTAATGATAATTTAGAATGTTATATTTAATTTTTAGTTAAAACTAAACTAGTCAATAGACTAGTGGATAGAATAGTCTATAGACTAGTTGAAGGAATAGTCTATAGACTAGTTGAAGGAATAGTCAGTAGACAAGTTGATATAATAGTCTATAGACTAGTTGATAGAATATTTTATAGCATAGGCAATATAATAGCATATAGACTAGTCAATAGAATAGTCTATAGACTAGATAATAGACAAGTCTATTTACTAGTTATTCTATTGACTAGTCTATAGAATAGTGGCTAGAATAGTCTATAGACTAGTTGATAGAATATTCTAAAGACTAGTTGATTGAATAATCTATTGACTAGTCAATATGAGAATATACTATTGCATAGGCTAGTCAATAGAATGTTCGATTGTCTAGTTAGTAGATTACTCATTACCTTATCCTACTGAATACACTAGTTCATATTCAGTAGACTGATCTGAAGACTATTTCATAGTTAATGGACATATACTAGACCATCTTCATTTTACACAAATTTCCTTAACTTATTGTAACAATTTAAATCGAAAATTTTTTCTTCAACAGTTCCCACTGTTCAATAATTTTGTTTATTTTATTTTTCCACATACATAAATAAATATTTGTTTCTATAAGTTTTCATAGATAATTATTGTCTTTTATCGTTAGTTCGTTTTCATCTTTAGTTTGTGTATATAACGATGAACGAGTGTTTTTGGCCAATGTTTGTTTTATTTATTACCAGTTATATTTGCTTTTTATTATTTTTTTCTACATGTTTATTCATCAAATTTTTGTTTGCTTAGACTCTCTGTTAGAGATGCGTCATCGGTTTGTTGTTTTTATATATAAATTTCAAATCTAGAAATTCTTTTTGAGTCAAAGTTAAATTTGTTGTTAAAATCATCATCATCGTCATATTTTTTTAAAGCTTGACTTGGGAGTAAATAATACGCTAAATATTGTTTACAAATGCAGCTAAAAGTCAACAACAAACGACAGCAGCAGCAGCAATACCCAGTAAATGCTAACTTATGTTTATTATGCATTTAATGCAGTTTGACCCAAATATGGTGATTTTCTGGCTTCCACAGTATATATATTGTAAATATATTCCAGTGTTTAAACTGCTGCATACCTGCCTGGTGTTTCTAATGTAGTTTTTTCAGTTTTTTGTTTCTTGATCCACTCACATTGTCACTATACGAGTTATAGTCTCACAAAGATTTAAAATTTTTTTCTTAATAGTTTTGTTGCATTCTGCTGCTTAACTTAACAAATGGGAGAAAGTGAAAGTTCATTGTAAAACGTGATAGGAAAATATTAGTAATTGAAAAATTATCATATGGACTAAATACTTAAATGTAAAGAGAGAGATACATGTAAATTCTAGTTTTGTTTCCAACTAGTATTCTGAGAAAGTTTCTATAAATCGCTATAGATTATAAACTTTAAACGAAACAAGTAAATTTATTTTTCATAATGAAAATAATTTGTTTAATTTTTAGCTTTTACATAAAATGACTAAGGAAAAATTATTAATTCTTTTGAAAAAAGCCGTTCCTAAATTTAATCACTCGATTTTTTGGGTTTAAATTTGTTTATATTTACACAAACTTTTTTCATAGACTTTTATTAGTTTGTTAATGATTCAATGGATTTCTTTCTATATTTTTCCAACAAACAATTAATTGTTTTGTTTGTTTTTAGTCATTTTGTTATTTTATTTATTTATAATATTTTCCACCTTATCCACGCAATCTAAAATAACATAAAAAACTTGTATTAAATCTTTGATAAACTTTAATTTTAAGTCTTTAAACGTAAAGCACGCAATAACTTTATTATTGTGTTTTTTTTTCAAAAATTTTTTGCTTTACTTTTTTTTAACTTCTCAATTAATGAAAGTAAAACTAGTTTGTTTTTATTACAATCACTATTTATCTCTAACTAAATCAGTTATTTTTCTCTTTTTAGTTTTTGTTAAATAATACTGACATAACATTTAAAAAAAATGTTCAAGTGAAAATAGTTAATGATGTTAGCAGGAGTTAAACTACTCCTGTTAACTTTTTTTTATTTTGGACAAGATTTAAAAAGTTTACAAGATTCTTTAGATAAAGTTTAAATGTTTGTAAAAATTCATTTGATTTTTGTGATTTTTTTTTTTTTATTGCAAAATACTTTCTCGAATAATTAGCCAGTATGCATGTTATCATAGAGAATAAAGTTCGGGGGAACAAGATTAGATCCAACTTTTATCAAATAGATTTTTGACAATTTATAGAGAGAAAAGTAACTTATAAAATATTAATAATTTGTTCATTAATTATGAATTTAAGCAATATTTTCCTTAAATTCACGTGTATTTTTTTTCATTTGTAAATAATTATATTTTAATTATTTGGCATGCGTTATTATTTACCCAATAATTGTATTGATTAATCACCTTAATAATAGCAACCTATTGCATACGTTCTTATCTTTAAGAAAAAAAATAATATAAACGTTATTTATATACAGAATATATATTCATTTACTGGTTATCTTTTCCCCATTTCTTAAAAAAAAAACTTCCCATACATTAAGTCATACTTTTTTATTATAACGTATCGCTACAAATTAGTTCATATTTGTACAATCTTATCACCAAAATATAAAAAAGCATACATACCTTAGAATTTGTACCAAAATAAACTTCAACATCGTCAACTTCTTTTCTTGCAACTCACCCCCTTAAAATTCAATTTACTCTAATAGTATCTTTAGCTGCAATACATGTTTTTTTTTTTATTATTACACATATCAAATACTACATTTTTTCTTTATATAAAAGAACATAATTTTAATTATCTTTTTCCCTAAACTATTTTCAATTCTGTATACAACATTTCTATTCTATTATAATTTCGATATAGAAGAAGTCTGTTGAAATTGTAAATATTTCTTTTGTATATAGTTTCTCATCAAACTAAACAAACTTATTTGTATTTTCTTTTACAAATTGTTTATAATATTCTTATTACCTTCAACGATTTAGATATATTGTAGTTAAATATAGATTTCTTTAGTAATTTATTATTGCAAAATGATAAAACAATTATTGATTGCATTATTTTGTAGTTCATTGTGTTGATTTCTTATTATACTTCTGTTTTATTCAGTTTTGTTTCGAAAAGTCATGCACTACTAAAGATAATACATATTATGACCATGATTTTATTTTTACTGTTTGTTTGATGCTTTTTAAAATATTTTCTCAAAATTGATATGTTAATAGGTAGTTTTTTAAACATCTTAATATGAAATATTAGTATGTACTACAATATAAAAATAACCAATATTCAAAAGAAATCTTATTAAACTGAAACAAAAAAACAGTCATGTTAATAGAACTGCAGTAGTTGCCATAAACTTTTGAAATAGAAGTCTGAAAAGTTTTTAATAACACAGACTAATAAATTTTGAAAAAAGTCGAAACTTTGATGCTTTAGACTAGTCAATGGAAGAGTATATAGACTAATCAATAGAAGGGACTACATACAAGTCAGTAGAAAATTATATTGATTAGGCAATAGACTAGTCGATATAATAGTCCACAGACTAGTTAAACACATTGTGTACAGACAAGTTTATAGACTACTCCATGGAATACTCAATAGAGAAGTCTACAGTCTAATCAATAGTATACTCAGTAGAGTTATCAATATAATAGTCTATAGACTAGTCAATAAGAATACAATAGTTTATAGACAAGTCAATGTAATAGTCTACATTCTAGTCTATAGAACAGTTAATAGAATAGTCTACAGAATAGTCAATAGAATAGTCTATAGACTAGTAAATAGAATAGTATATAGAGTAGTTAATAGAATAGTGTGTAGACTAGCCAATAGAATAAGTCTATAGATAAGTCAATAGATTAGTCAAAAGAATCGTATATTATTTATTTATTATTTATTTATTTATTTATTGAACGTTATAACCGAGCCTAAAAGGCCATCTATAGTTAAACAATTCTACTGAATAAATCTATAATACAGTAATAAAATAAATAAATTAATCCCTTAATAAGCAACATTTACCCTATAAAAGTTTTACAAAACAAAATTTCTATAAAAAATTTGATTTACAAACCCTTACAAAACAAAAATTCGCTATATATACTAGTCAATAGAATAGTCTACAGACTAGTCAATGGAATGATAAATAGACTAGTCAGTAGAATAGTCTATATACATTTGTTGACCTATGTAATTAGTCAAAAACTATCTCTATCACAAAAACTATTAGAAGACAACAATCAAACTAAACTTACACATTTTCCTACAATTCCTTCCCCCCATCCTAACTTTAAACAACGAGAGCATAATTTTTCCATCCTTTTTTCATGACAAATTACGTAATAAATTTTAACTTTTAGCATATTCGTCATACAGTACATACAATTTTATATACCAACTGTTCAAAATACCCATAATATCTTTTATTTTTCATTGTTGCTGAAAAACTTATCGTTTAAATGAAGTATCTCAAGAACATTCTTGATGACATCATCATAAACATAACTGTTGCTATTTAAAAAAAAAAAGACTTTGGTGTTAAGAAAATATGTACCACAAAAAAAAATACTAAAAACAATAAGAAAACAAAACTGGAAAAAAACGTTATAAACCACAACAACGCCAGCTTTATTATTTATAGTTTATTTTCCTTTTATTTATTTTTATAGCTTTTTTTCAGCAGAATTTCTGTGTACTTACATACTCATTTAATCATATTGTTTGTGTTTTTTTTTTACTCTTTATGTAGAAATTCATTTATTGTTTTCAGTTTTTAATTCATCTCCATAATTAAAACTCCAACGCAATCTTGAAATTTGTTTAAAAATAAATGTCATTTGTCATTATTTTAGCTGTTTAGGGTATTATTAATATACATATGTATAAGCACATTAAGTTAATTTTAGGATTTAACTTAAAATGAAAACGAATTACGTTTAGAAACTTCTGAAAAATAAAAATAAACAATATCCTGTTATTTAACCAAAAGGAAATCTAATGCATTTTTATAGAACCAAATACATTGTATGTTCTTCTTTGGTATCTTGACCAAATTACTTTCAAAACAGGATCATGAATTATCTGCCAAAAATACTTTCTTATTAATATGGTAGCTTGATATGATATGGTTTCGTATGTCTCTTTACTAAAGACCAAAAGAAAAAAATAGTCCATTAATGTATGCGTTTAAAATGATTTATGACCTTACAAGTTCAACTGTTTATGTTTTATGTGTGTGTTATTTTCTTAAACAGCTTTTTCTTTTTCAATCACTTTTCAACTACACTGAGACCTAGATTTGCTACATTAACCGTTAAATAGGCACAATATAATATCTTATTGGAAAAATCCTTTCGAAATTAGTAGACTCATCATTTCCTTTTCTAATAGATATTGATAGATAGATAGATAGATAGATAGACAGACAGACATCTTGATTGGTTTGTGAAAATGGTTCCCACCTCGATGAAAGGGACGTCGTAAAGCACTTATTCAGCAGGGACTTCATAAGTCTGCTAATATCAGATAGCAACGTTTACCTTGTTCGAAAGCTTACTTTTTAGTAACTAAGGCTACTGACACCGCGATGACAGATTAGTAGGTATGCATGCTAGAATATTGAACACCTTCATTGTGGGTATCTTGTTTTCTACGACGTAAATTGGACGGTGTTATTTGCATTAGTTAAGGGATTATTAGAGCGGACGGATGGGTGCAACTTTTATAAAATGTCAATATTAATTATCGAATATTTAAAAAAGATTGACTCAGAAGTTGTGAGTCTGAACTTTTTTTATCATCCTACATAGTTGTAAAGAAAAATGGGCGTGGTCCATTCCATACAAAATAAATAAAAATAAAACATTTATTTTTATCATACATGGGAATTTTTCATTAAGCATTAAAATTTCATTACCATTTATAGAAAAAATTGTAATGAAAAATATTTTAAGTACCATTTAATGAAAATTATATTTTTTTCATTATAACTTTTTTGATAATGGTAATGAATTTGATAATGAATTTTCTAAAACAAATTTAATTAGTATTTATAATTGTCGAAAAATATATTTGATAAGAATTCAGAAAAATTTTTCGAAGATTCGAGCACATGTTTGAAAGCTTTTAAAACCAGTTTCCGTAGTCCAAATTTACTGAAATTTAGCCGTCATAAGTACATCTAATGACAATACAATAATATGTTCGAATATTCGAAATTAAGTTCGAAAATTCGAAGTTATTTTCGAAAATTTTTTTATGTTTTTAAATTAATCTCTGTGTCATAAAAACTAAAAAAAAATTTTTCGAAAATTCGAACTCGTGTTCGAAAATTTTTTAAAGCTTTTAAAACTAGTTCTTCTAGTCCGAATGGGCTGAAAATTGGCATGCATGATTGCACCGAATGACAATACATTATAATGTTGGGATATTCGAAATTAATTTCGAAAATCGAACTAATATTCGAAAATTTGTAAAATCCATTAAATAATGGTAATGAAAATTTATTTTTAAATAATTACTAATGAAATCGTTTCATTAAAAAGCATTACCATTAGACAAAATAATGCTAATGAAAAAAAAATAATTATAATTTTTTTCAATTTAATGCTAATGAAATCGTCAATTAATTAGTCGATATAATTAACTACTCCCATGTATGATTTTTATGAACCTTATGATTTAGATAACAATTCAACAGCTTGAAATATTTTCGAACATAAGTTCGACTTTTCGAAAACTTTAAAAAAAATCCATTAAGGGAATTTTTATTGTATTTATGTTTGCAAAATTTCAAATTTATTTTACAAAATTTTATAATTTTTCTAAATTTAATTTTGTGTATTTAATATAAAATTCGCATCATCTGGTCAAAAAAAACAAAAACAAAATGTAAAATAATTTTAACATCGTATTTTGTCTAGTATAATTAAATTAGAATGTCTTTCAAACTATTTATAAACTACTACCAGCCGTATAAGTCCATTTGACGTCTATCACGTGATAATTCATAATATGATTTGTATACGTTTCTTATTTTTCATGTTTTATTTATTTTTTGTTTTCTTATAAATAAATATTATTTTCTACATGTATTTTCAATTCATTCGCAATTACAGTGAATGTGTGATGTCATATGACAAATATTGCTGAGCCGGTAAACGTTCAATTCACTACAATTGTTTGTATATTCATTATTACTGTTTTTCTACTTTGTTTTAACACAAATTATTCTTCTTTCTATAGGTAAGATAAGAAGGGATAAAAAAGAGAATAACGCAAACAGTAAACAATTAATATTAACGTCTTAATTGATTTTTTTTATTTAACTTTATTTTGCTAAGTAGCAAAGAAAGTTTGTGAGAAATACAGGGTGTTAATTGTAATTTAATAAACACAACAAGTCAACAAGTTTTTCTTTATTTTGGTTTTCATTAAATATTATTTAAACAAATGTTTTACTATGAACAAAAAGTTATTTGCTTTAATTTAATTCTTTTCTATTTTTAGGCCTCAACTATCGATGGACGCCGCAAAGGAGCCTGTCTTTTCTGTCAAGAATATTTTATGGATTTATATCTATTGGCCGAATTGAAAACAATAAGTCTTAAGGTAACAACAGTGGATATGCAAAAGCCACCACCAGATTTTCGCACAAACTTTGAGGCCACACATCCGCCAATTCTAATTGACAATGGTTTGGCCATCCTAGAAAATGACAAAATCGAAAGGCATATAATGAAAAATATCCCCGGTGGATATAATCTTTTTGTGCAGGTAAAAACAAAAAAACACGTTTAAAAAATAATAAATAAATTTGATTTAAATTAAAATTTAAATATTTTAAAGGACAAGGAAGTGGCCACTTTAATTGAAAACTTGTATGTCAAACTCAAGCTGATGTTGGTCAAGAAGGATGAAGCCAAAAACAATGCTTTGTTGGCCCATTTAAGGAAAATCAATGATCATTTGGTTAATCGTAATACACGTTTTCTCACTGGTGATACTATGTGTTGTTTTGATTGTGAATTGATGCCACGTTTACAGCATATAAGAGTGGCTGGCAAATATTTCGTAGATTTTGAAATTCCAGTAAGTTCTAGCTTATATAAAGCTTTAAGAAAAAAATGTTAATATAATTCCTAACTCTCTTGATTATTGTAGACACATTATACGGCTTTGTGGCGGTACATGTATCATATGTATCAATTAGATGCCTTCACTCAATCCTGCCCCGCTGATCAGGATATTATCAATCACTACAAATTGCAACAGATGCTGAAAATGAAGAAACATGAAGAGCTGGAAACACCCACCTTCACTACATCCATTCCAATTGATATTTCGGAATAAGATTGCTGCGTTGCGTTAGCCTTTTAATGCCTGGCTAATAATACACCATTTTGCATACTTATTTGTTTTTGGTTTATTTTTTTTTTTTTTTTATTTTTTAAACCCCACCCACTTTTTGAGTAGTGCAAACTTTAATTTACATGATAATGATAAAACATATATAATATACATTTTCGGTTTCATTTATGTATAATTTAAGATTTTTTAGCGACCTTAATTTTGTTTATATTACTATAACTTTTTTTGTTGATGATGATTTAAATGTAATTGCGTTGATTTCTTTTTAAATCTAATGTTCCTTCTTTTTAACACAGCTCATTGCTATGAAACCATTTGCGGCCGACTTTAACAAAAATATTACTTGTCCATTTTTGGGTTTTTAATTTTAAACTCGGTATATCCACTTGAAACAGAAACACGGTTTAGTTTGCGAGAACATGACTACTATAAATTATTAAATTAAAACTTTTTTTATGGAAATAACCTTATAAGACCTAGCAACAGCAAACCAACAACAAACAAACAAACCTTGTACTAACAAAAAGTGTGTTTTTTATAATATTATTATTATTATTTTATAAAAACTTATATTAAAATATATTTGCATATAATATTTTTTGTATATACACATACAATCACAAAAACAAAACATAATAAAGTATTTCTTATATTTGATACTACTAAATACGGTACTTTTTATTTAATCTATGAAATTCGATTCGATTATATTTAAACTCTAAATTTGAATTAACAGTACTTTTGTATTTCACAATGTTTTGTCAAGCTGGCAATGCTATTTTAAAATTTCTAAATGGCAATGCTGGCTTTCAGTAGGATTTTAGCGCCATCTTTTGTTTGCCATTTTTCATTTTGCAATATGGAAAGTTGCAAAACAATAGATGGCGCTGGCGAAACCCATTGACAGGGTTGCCAATTTTTACAAAATCTTAAAATTAAGAGATTGTTAAAAAACACTATAACTCCTAAACTATTGAACGGATTTTAAAAAATAACTCATCAATGTATGTAGAATCTTTCGTAGCATCTTTATTTATTATATTTTAAAGTAAACTTTTGTATTTTAAACTAAAATTCCCCTTTTTGCATTTATTGTAGAATTAATAAAAACTAACTACTAGTATTATCACAAAATCAAACAAATCAGTTCTCACAAGACCCCAGTAATCTGCGAGATCCAAATCTTTAATAATTCTATCAGACATGTTCTCGCAAATTCGCCATATAAATAACGGAGACATGAGCAGCCCATAAAATATTACGGTCTTTGTCATTCTTAATTGGCTTTTTCAACAACTTTTGCTATAGGTCTTTTCTATCCTACTGGGATTGAAATGGTTGAAAATTATTAGAATCGTTTTATAATTCATTATTAAATGGCTATATCGGGACAAAATTTAACACGAATATGTATGTACATACACAAAAATTATTCAGCAAAATGTTTTCCGGATCGAAAATCACTTCATCGTAAATAACTCATAATAATTGTGTCGGGATAAAATTATTATTAAAAAATTGTAAAACATACCGACAGACGGAAATTGCTAAATTGAGTTCATTATCTAAAAGGATTCATAGTAAACTCATCGACAAACAAACATCGGGGGTGTTGAAACAAAATAACATACATACATACATACATACATACATACATACATACATACATACACACATCCTTACAAAGATAAAAGCAAAAATTGAAAAAAACCCGTGAAACCTTATTTTAAATTTTAATTTAATATCATTTAAATTTTATTCACATTGCACATAAGAAAACATTTACACAAAACATAAATTAAACATCATTATTGAGTTAACACTTTATGAGGTAGCTTTAGATTTACTCTTAAATGATCTAATAAATTTAATACGATTTTTTAGCTTATTAAATTCGGGCGGCAAAAAACAATTAAGAAAAATATTCGTTATAAAACCCGTAACACCCCAGATACGTTTATCATCGACAACAAATGCGGGCGATGAATAACCACTCTTGAATTGAGTATAACGCAAGGTTTGAGGACTAGCTAATCTTTTAATAGGTATCGCAAAAGCTTCCTCAACTTCATCATAATTTAACTTGAGTTCACTTTCTCTGAAATTTCTAATTACGCCCACAACTGGCATAATAGCTGCCGTATGAGGAGGTGTTATTAAATTACCTGAACCCCAGATTTCAACACGACTCGGTAGTATACCGATTTCCTCTTCGGTTTCCCTCAAAGCACATTGTACAAAATCTTCATTGTCTTCTTTTATGCCTCCCGGAAAGGATATTTGTCTCATGTGTCTACTTAGCAAGTGAGAACGTCTTGTATATAAAAGAGATACATTTTGCCTGCAAATAATTAGCCATGGGCCTTAGACTTTGTTCCCATATGTTAAAAATTACACTTACGTTTCTTCGTCCGTACATAAAGCTATTAATACAGCTGCAAATTTAGTTTCACTCTTAGCTCCACGTAGCTTTATTCCCACTGGAGGAGCCTTACCCATTTTCTCCAAACATCTTTGACGATTTTCCTCAGACAATAACAAATTCTCGTCTATTTCATAATCAGACTTTAGATTTTCACTTATTCTAGAAGCCGAGTAGTTGGGATATGTTCCTTTAATGACTTGTGTTCTAAGCAGGGGTGCTACAAGTGTTGTACGACATCTACCTAATAAGGATGTCATCGTCTAATTTGTGCGTTAACTCAGGATTAAGTAAATCGTTACGAATAAAAATAAGTAAATATTTCTGTTATCAGCAGCTGTTCAATAACTAGCACTAGGTTATGCTAGCTTGCGGTAAATATGTCAATCAATAAGCTTTTTGTTTTTGTAAAAGTTGTTAGTTCTGTCGAACATAGTTGTTTTTGCAGGTTTTAGCATTTTTACTACAATAAACACAAGTAGATTTGATAGTTTTTTTTCTCCTCTATAAACAAATGTCAGCTGTTCAAATGATAACACCATACGAATATGATGTCAAGGTGAGTTACTGGCAGATGTTTAAGTTTATGCTGCCAGATATTAAAAAAAAACATTTTGTTTAGAGTTTTATTAAAAGTACTCATTAATTTCATTTTACCCATATATGCACCAATTTTTTTATAAATTAAAAAAAATAAAGCGAAGTTAGAAAGAATGAATTCTATTAAAACTTTCTTAATATGATACAGATTTTTTATACATCTATTAGAAATAATTCGTTATTGTTAAAAAACATTTCCAAAAATATATCATTTGACTTTCATAATGGGCTTTTCTGTAATTTCCGATAATTCTGCAGATTAAAAAGAATTAATAAAACGAGTAAAAATTACTTTACAAATTACTTAATTTCAGTTCTGTTCCTTATATCCCAAAAAGGAATAAATTCTTTTGGTAATTATTTAAATATGTAAAAACAAAGATCAAAATTTCAAATGAAATAATTCTATATAGAATTCATTCTTTCTTAACTTAAAAAACACAACAATTACTTTTTCACCTCAACAAAGTTACCGTTAAATAACATTGAAATATTTCCCGTTATAATAAGGCCAACACTGGCGGGATAAGAGATGCCAGACTTGACGCATTAAATTAGACATAAAACAAGTGACAGGGATAAAAATAACAAATGATAGTTTCATACAAAAAAGGATATTAATTGGAAAAAAGTTTTGTAAAAAGCTAAATAACATCATTGTGGAATACTATTAAAATTAAAATTTTAATAAAATTATTTGAAAATTTTAAAACTTGGCCAAATGTTGCCAACAAATATGCTAGTGGGAGTGTATTTTGCAGTCACCTGGTTATGTACATGCTTCGAAATGACCAACTCTAGGACATCAACAATGTGGAAATTAAATATGCAGACAGGGAAAATTCAAACTCTCGATGTGGACGGAGAACAAGTGAAGAATTATGCTTCATTAGATGAAGATATGCTCTACAATTTTAATGCCATGGCAGAGGTTTACTCAAGGGATGAAACGTTTTTTACACTAGTGTCTTCCACGCGCATAGACAACCACAATGGTTGGTTACGTCAGTCAGCGGAAAGCACCTTGGAATCATTGCTAGAAGCAAGAAAACTAAAGACTGAAAACATTTTAAGAGCTAAAAATAAGAAATCCCATCACATTAATATTGAAAATAATGTTGCTCTACGTAATAATACTCAGAACGTGGTGGTGGATACATTGGATTGTGGCCAACCAATTAACTATACTAATTATGATTATATTATAAATTTAGGGGCTCAATATAAACACAAACAAACACCAGCTATGCCTGAACCGGATGTAAGTTTGTTTTATTTTTTTAAAGAAAAAAAAAAAAAAACACTATATTTTTAATCTTTGCAGGTGATATATTTCTTCTTGCCATCTCATGACCAAGAAGACTATAAGAATTTTAATATCGTAGCCTTAGAGAAACGTTTGAAACGCTTTAAGAGGCAAAATCCTATTTCCGCTGAACTTTACCATCACATAGGAAATTATTGGCGCATTATTGGCGATCCCGTACAGGCCATTAAATGTTTTCGTCGTTCATTAGATATATCACCGGCTGCCTCGGAGGTTATGTATGATTTAGCTAAAGTTCTTTATAATTTACAATATCTAGATGATGCCATACATATGGCACGCAGGTGAGAAAAATCTTTTCATAAAGGTAACTTTTATATACATACGTATATTTTGCTCTGCAGATCTATTGAATTTCAAGCACCACCTTATACAGCGTGGCGTCAATATTTATTGTTGGGTGACATAATGAAAACCTATGGAGATTTACGTAGTTCTATACACTATTATCGTTTGGCTTTAGAGCTGAATCCAACACAGGAACTCATTTTAAGATCTTTAAATGAAGCTGAACAACGGCCAACGGCAACATTGCACGCATATACCGTAGTTATTATAGTCATATTGGTAAGTTAACAAATTTAATAAAATTGATAGTAGGTTTGATTATATGATGTCCTATACTGATATAAGGTGCATTCAAAAGTAGTCCTTTACTGCAGTTAAGTACTATTATGAACAGATTATCAAATATGTAATGCTTCGTTACATATTAGGTTAATAATTATAGTTTTTTGAGGACCTTTAACCGCTTATTTTAATTATTTTTTTTATTTCTAGGTTATTATGGTTCTAATAGTTATTCTAACTTCAATGATAACCGAAGTTCGGGCTGATCATCATTATACGAATGGTCAATGTACTAGTAATTCCGAAGCTTATGACGTTAAACCACAGCGTCATTTTAATCGTGCCATGGCTATGCGTTCTTTGAAGGGATTATCAGGTGCACGCTCTTTGCGTCAACGTAAATATTAAGAAGAGTTTCGAGTAAACAAACTATATATTTGGTATTTAAATATTTATGCTTATTTAAATAATTTTTTTCTCATTATTTCATTTTAATTTATATTGACTGTGATAGCTTTTAAATTAGTCATATTTTGTTCGATTACCATTTAAAATATGTACTAAATATATGCTGATACTTAAAAAATTATTAAACCAAAGAGAACAAATTGAAAAATATGTATAAGATTTTAAAATCTGTAAGTTTTTCGACAACTGTTGAAATAACACTTTTCATATTACACCATTAAAATAATAATGTATATTATTTCATATTAATATGTTAACGTAAATGTATTATGATTTTATTATCCACTTAAGAGAACAAAAAAAAAATTGCGCACAAAATTAAGAGCTAATAAAATAATAATAAAAAATAGTTCGCAAAGAAAAGCCCGTTGTTGTTACCACTTTGTTTTTTTTTTTTTTTTTTTCATCATATTTATTATTTATTAAAATAATGCTTTAGAAAAATAATAAGAAAAGCACACGAGCAGGATCATATTTAATTTGTTTATTCTTTAGGCTGAATTATGGATATTTAAACGGAAAATATCATGGGCACAGAAAAATGTTCCACCCAATGGTCTCAAAACGAAAATTTGAGAGAATGCATGTGGAGGATCTTCATCACACTGTAAGAAAATTAAGGTATAGATAGGAAATTGATAAAACAGTGTTGTAATTTGTAATTATGGCAAAAGTTGATGAGTATGAATTGTATGGAATGAGGATAGTGACAAATTTTAAATTTTAGCATAAAGAAAAAAGAATATTCACGAATTATAATAGTTAAGTTGAAGGATGTTTTTTTTTAATGTATACTAAACTCACTGATCCAAGAAGACTAAAAAATGTAACTATCTATAAATTGGTAAAATATTTAAAATATTTTTTTTTGTTAGCAATTACTTTGACATAGTGAAACATTTATAAACACTAAATGGTGTTCTTTGACCTCGCTAATCTTTTTAAGATATCGCAACATTTCCCACTTTCAAAGACATTGAGGATACTATAATTTTATTCAATTATCAAGTCATAATATCAATTATAATATTATTGTATTTGCCTTTTAGAAATATTCAGTATCTGATAAAATAACGATATATTCACAGTTTTCGTAGACAAAGCCTATTTTAACCTACAGAATATCTCTTGGTTAAATGATAACCAATTACCAAAGGCAAGCAAAACCTTATGGAACTTATAACATTTTCCTTAATTCAAAAATAATGGCATATTAGATATGGAATGATAGTTATGTCTTAAAACAAAATGGTATCTTATTTAATGTTGAATTAGCTTACCTGTAAACGTCCAAGAACATTAATAAGAACACCACCATCATACATGGGTTGAGAATCTACGGCAGTTATGACGCGTGAAATTTTTTGAAATGTAAGGCTCTATAAAGTATAGAAATAAATACGTATTACAATATACCAAAAAGTGTATAAAATGAAGATCTTAATACTTACATTTAATTTTTCCATAATTTTTGGTGCTCCCTGAATTTGTAAGCCCTCAAAGGACATAAAGGAATCTGTGGTCTAGAATAATAAAAACAAAAACTATAAGTTTCATAATAAAAGTATATTTAATATATTTCATTTATAGTTATCTATCTATCTATCTATCTATCTGTCTATCTATCTATCTATCTATCTATCTATCTATCTATCTATCTATCTATCTATCTATCTATCTATCTATCTATCTATCTATCTATCTATCTATCTATCTATCTATCTATCTATCTATCTATCTATCTATCTATCTATCTATCTATCTATCTTATCTATCTATCTATCTATCTATCTATCTATCTATCTATCTATCTATCTATCTATCTATCTATCTATCTATCTATCTATCTATCTATCTATCTATCTATCTATCTATCTATCTATCTATCTATCTATCTATCTATCTATCTATCTATCTATCTATCTATCTATCTATCTATCTATCTATCTGTCTACCTATCTATCTATATCTATCTATCTATCTATCTATCTATCTATCTATCTATCTATCTATCTATCTATCTATCTATCTATCTATCTATCTATCTATCTATCTATCTATCTATCTATCTATCTATCTGATTTCGATTTCGTTAGATTTCTACAAACTGGTAATGTGTACTAGCCACACCCATTAAGTTTTATTATTTATTTGCTTTATTAATTCTGCCAGACCCTTCTGACAGCCACCACCGATATGGCTCTAACGCAAACAAATTCCGTAAAAATATTTTTAATCAACATTTAACACTGACAAATTTCGTAAGAAAAAGAAAATTATAAGGGCTAATTAACAACATCATTGGACATGTAGGGTGTCATAGGGAACTGAAACTTACTTATCTTAAAAATGCATATACTATACAGTCTATACATGTACTTTCTTACATGAAAATGATTCGTATGTTAAATTTTAAGTGGATTCCTTAGAAACTAAAAAAAATTACAATACAATCTACAAAACTAACCAAACTTAAGTAGGAAACTTTAAAATGCTTTAAGAACTCTTGCTGTACACATTGCAGGATGTAAAGTTTATAGATTTTTGAAATTCATGGATATAGTACATATTATTGTACATGTATTTGTGGAAATCTTTTCATTAAAAACTTTTTATAATTGCTCCCATGGCAATTTATGATCTCATTGAATTGATATTTCTCATAAATTGAACATTCTAGAATTGGCACTTGCACATCTTTAAGCACCTTCTTGTCTATTTAATTAACTAAATATTGAAGTTTACTTTAAATTCCACAATGAATATTGTATAGAAATATTGCCCTTTTAAGGCATGATTTTTGTATTTTTTTTTTTCTTTTTTACTCACGCTATAGAAGTTAACCACATTTGCTCGTTGCAGCGGATCATCGAATAGAGCGTAGTACTGTTGGACAAATCCTTTGCCAATATCTTCGTATTGTGGATTCAATGCCATTATATTTGTTTATTAGCTTATATTTAGGATGATGAAGAAAAGGTGAAATCGAATTCCAATATTTCTTTTCCTTTTTTTGTCGCACAAAAAACTGAATAGTCAAATTCCGACAGTTGCAGGCACACACACGCACTCGTCCCCCGGCGAGCTGTTGTATGATTTTTCTTCTTTTTTATTTTTTGCGAATCAGTTTATTTTATTTAGTGTGGCCATATTGATAAAAGCTTTTTGGGGATTATGTTTTTAAGTAGTAACAAAAATATTTAAAATACTGAATTATTGCTCCTTAGATAAACTAAAATAAACAGATCTATTTTTATATGTACTGTTTTAACAATAAAGCAAATGGGCTACAAATTTTTATTATTAAAACTTGTTATTGGACATTTTTGGCGATTAGAGCTTTTGCCAATAAGAATTCGCAAGATTATAGTATCAAAAATATGGTACTTTTATAGAGCTACCATATTTTTTGTTAACCGCCAAATGTGTTTCTATGTAAATACGCCCTCAATTGTTGGTTAAAAAAAAGTTAAAATTTTTGTTAAATACTTTTTAACTTCAATAGGCTTATTGTAATATTTATATTTATTAAATTCAAATGTATAAGAAACTTTGTTTAATTTTAAATACTTTCGATTTTTTAAATAAAAACTCTACAACATTATCTATCATTATCTTATTACTAAGTTGGTAATTTTGCATTAACAGTGCTGCTAATTCACTTTTACCAAAAAATCGTCCTTGTTCCTTACTTTTCCAAACAAAAATGCAGCTGAATCGTAAATCGTTACTTTTTATAAGCACTTCAGCTAAAATGGTATATTTCATCAACATTTTTAATTTGTATGAATATTAAGTATAACGCAATAACTGTTAACTGTTCAGATGACAATAAACAATATCTACTGCGATATAACAAATTTAAAAAAGTGATTTACAAATTTTGAAAAATAGCTAAATAGTTGTAAAGTAGCTAAGTTAGCATCATTGCGTATGAGCAACAGCAACAAAACAATATCCCAGCAAAAAAAATTTGCAGTAGTTCAAAGTGAATGCATGTTTCATGACTTCTTTAATAACAGTACTAATACAACTTATTTTAAACGCCTTCATAAATTCAACCTATTCCGCAGTTAAAAAATTCCTTTAAAACTTCAAAAATTAATTCAGATTGTTAATTTAATCAAATGAAATTTATGTGTTATTAGAAATATTTTTGATTATTAATATTATTTTATATTTCCCTTAAAAATATTAAAAATATCTTCCAAAAACACATAAAAATGAAATAGCTTGAACCAATGAAACATCATTTTCGAATCATCGAACTTGCATTGGTTCGATTATTCGAAATTCTTGCATAAACACATGGTCTCCAATGATACGCTAATGTTAAAGTCATGCATGTTTCACCTAAATTGAACCACTTCGTCATCACTTGCAATTCTGATTAAACAACATCTTTGTCATGTAACTTTTTGCTGGGATTAAGTACAACAACGACGACGACGATAACCAAAAAATTGCCAATACATACAACAGGCTGGCTGGAAATGTTTAAGGGTATTAAACGCATGGTGTGCTGGTGAATCATTTGCTGAATAAAATCAACTCAAGACAAGACATAAGTTTGCATCACTCCATTAATTACAACACACAGACTGATTTGATAAGATGAATCAACTGCAACCGCAGCTGCCGAAGGGTTTCACACTGCTCGAGAATCAAGTGGCCGGTCATACTTTCTCGCCCGACACTCAAGCCTTGGGTATGCTGAAAGATGCCTCAGTTGGCTGTGTCTTAAAGCCGATGGGTAAACCGCAGTGCGGTGAGAGGGAATTGAGTTTCTACGAAAGTATCACAAATGCCAGTGACCCCGTATTGGTGAAAGCTCGTGATTTAGTGCCAAAGTTTTATAACAAACTAAAACTGCAAGTAAATTGCAAAGAGCATACATTTTTAAAACTGGAAGATCTCTCGCATGGAATGTTAAAACCCTGCATAATGGATATTAAGGTAGGCAAGCGTACATGGGATCCATTGGCTTCGCCTCAAAAGCGTCAAGTGGAAGAGCAAAAATATTTGCATAGCAAACAAGTCTTGGGTTTATGTTTGCCCGGATTCCAGGTATACAAAAACGGGGTATTAGAAAAGTATGGTAAAGATTATGGCAAGCAGCTGGACACCACTGGTCTGAAAGACACAATACGCAATTTCTTAAATGCCGAAAACAAAGTCTGTCAACCTTTGGTACAAGAGGTATTACGACAACTTTACCTTATACGTGAATGGTTTAAACAACAGACTGTCCTGCACTTCTATGCCAGTTCC